AGTTTACATGTATGTGTGGGCAGCGTTTTTTACAGTATGCATGGTCAGCATTTCTGAACAGTATGCGTGGTTAGCGTTTTTGTACAGTATGTGTGGTTAGCGTCTTTGTACAGTATGCGTGGTCCGCGATTTTGTATAGTATGGACAGTGATAGTTTCATGATCACGTGTGTAGATTTATGAAATGACTGATGAGAGTACTGGTACAGCAAATACTGGACTCTGCTTTTAGGAATTATTGGAGATGATTATTGTTGTATGATCCAGCATGGAACCTGCCTGAAAATAGGTACTTAAAGAGATTTGCTTGGAATATCATTCTGCCTCATTTACATGTATATGTAAGTTTAGCCTTTTTCCGGTAGCACTGAGAAAGGTTGGGCCATTTTCTTTGTCCCTTGCCACGTGGCAAGCTGTGCTCAACCATGTGCTCAGGTGGCGTCGGTCAAGCCATGACTAAGTAGGCTTAGTCACTTCCCTAAAGAATCAATACTGAATGTTCGATACCGAGCATTCGACACTGAATACTCGATACTGCTTATTCGATACTGGGATCACGGTTTGTGTGGTATTGATTGTTGGAAATCTCTGTAATCAGTATATTTTTTTATAAGTAGTAAGTAACAATTGATGTATTCATGTTTAGTCACTCTGACTCCATGCTGTGTTGAAGCAACATCGACCCCGACACATGTCTTACAAGCGCCTGCCCGTTTCCGTCTTTTACAGTTCGGAGTCGCAATTTTAATGTGCAACCTCTCGGTGACTTGTACCGGTCACCTGGGGTGTAACATCAGTTTGCAGCAATTGTGGCAAATCGTTCGCAAGCACAGACGTTAACAAGCAACACAGAGAGAGGAACACACATCAGAGGCACAGCAGCGGTCACCCCAGCCCCTCCTCCTCCGAGCAGTGAAACTGGCAAGACCTTTGCTCACACCTACAACCTACGGAGTCGAAGAGCGTATTGGGTCCAGAAAACTTGCAGTGGATGGGTTTAGTACAGAGAGAAAAGCTGTGTGCCAGCTCCACGGGTGCTTCTGGCTTGGCCACCGATGTCGATTTAACAAAGACTACACTGCCCGGCAAAAGACACAGCGCACCTCGGTTGTATTTGTTAGTTGATGATTCTTCCACAAAATATGTCAGTTTGTCAATAAATTTACCAAACTGTGTCTTGTGTCATTATTTTAATCAAATTCATATTTCTAAGGGTCAATGTCGGTCCTATCGTTCCATTTAAAAACGATTTCACGACAGCACTTCACGATAAAATCACCATATTGAATGACCTCATTAAATATTCATGAGCTCGTTAATATATTATAGTGGCATTTAAACCAAGGGTAACAAACTTCGCATGGCGGGAAAATACATTTTATGAATATTTATATAAAGCAAAAGTTGACCCCCATTGAAGGCTATGGAAACTGGGGATTCTAGTGCTTTATAAAGGAAGGCTATTTTTTATATGAATCCTTTCACTTAAATCTCAGAGTCCGAGCACAATGGCCACGAAAACGCCCCTGACTGATCACCAAAAAGGCATAATCGAAGCTTGGCACGAGGAAGGAATTTCCGAACAAGAGATAGCCAGGCGTCTTGGCATCAGTGACAACACTGTTAGGAATAGTTTAAGGAAGCTGGTGGAAAGAGGATCCATGGCAAGTCTAACCCAAATCTGGCCATCCAAGGTCCACCAGTGTGCAGGATGACCAATTCTTGGTACGGGCATTCTGCCGAAACCGTTTCCTCACTGCCCCCGAGCTGCGAATGGAACTTGCCCAGACTGGTGTCGACGTCCATCACTCCACTCTGTCTCGTTGCCAAGCAGCAGCTGGCTTGAATGGGTAGCAAGGCACAAGCCCCACCTTTAAGGTGTAATACAGTTACCCACACAAAGCAAGGCATCTAGCCTGGGCCGGCGAGCATCTGGCGTGGACGGCTGATGACTGGAGCCGCGTTCTTTGGTTTGACGAGTCGCGGTTCCAGCTGTATCAATCAGAAGGTCGTGTTTATGTCAGAAGGCTGGTGGGGGAGGAGTTTTCTCAACGCCAGTGTTTACGTCGATATTCTCTGCGACCACGTAGAAATTTGGGAATGCAAACGTAAGTTATGAAATACCACAGAGCCAGCATTGTATGGGTACTACGATTCGATTCATGATGGGCCATTTTTTGGCCTGGTAGAATGCGATATATTCCCATTCTCTGAAAGGACACAAATATTCGAAAATTTAAAGTTATCAGAGACGACGTTAGTGAGCACATTATGAAGCAATATGCTGAAATAACTGAAATAACTGGATATTCAAATCCCCACAAAGGAATTTGACAGACAGTATGTAGGGTCAAAACTTCTTCTCGCCTCACCTCTATTCAAGTGGTATTTGTCTCACAGGCTCATGGTCAACAGAGTGTTCAACGTAATTCAATTTATCAGAAAACTAATTGATTTCCTGGTTTGGAGGGATTCTGTTAGTGATGCAAGGCATGCAGGAGACACAGACAGGATCCTTGCAGATACGATGAAGCTGTTATGTAACTCTGCCTACAGCAGAACAGTCACGAACCACGAGCGTCATATGAAAGTCGACATACATATAGCAAGCGACAAAAGTGCACCTTGGGGCACTGCACGACCTTGGAGAGGGAGTGTACAAAGAGGAAAATGAGCGGCAGGGATAATCAAAGGCAGGTGAAACGAGCACGGACAGAAAGAAGAAAGAAACCTGCATGCAACAGGGCACTGACTTGAATGTCAAAATCGCATGTCCTTGAAAAACCAAAGGAAGAAAGGCAAGAAAAAGAAGAGAAAAGAAAGAGGAGAAATCAAGACAGAGTGTTATAAGGACTGTCAGGCCAACAGAGGAAAGTGGCTCGTGTAGTATCTTGAGTACAATATCTTGCAACACACCATTTGGAAAGAATTCTCAAGTGCATTATGGGAAAGACGATATACCATGGAACACTAATAAGTGCATTATGGGAAAGAGTTCTTGGTACATTGCTGTGCATGGACAGTGCAGTTACATGTACAACAGAAGTATACATGTACATGTGTACAGTTCATTTCCAGTCTGATTCAGTCATTAGGCTTTCTCTAAAGGACAATACGACAGGAAAATAGGGGGAGTAAGAGGGCCAGGAAGTTATGCGCTGATATGATATACGACAGATATACGACGATATTTGCATATCAAAGTGTCAGAGAATGAAAAAATGCTTCCACCAACCTACCGGTATGCCTTGGTACTTTGTCTTGGTGCCTACAACTTGTACCTATAGTTGGGGCAATGTTCGATGTTTGACACATAGTTTTGCCAACTTTTTCTTTACAAGGTCAGACGAATTGCATCTCGACTAAGCCTGGAAGCCGTGCACGACTAGTCGCCAAGTCGCTAATACCAAAGGGTAGTCGCGGTCACGACTATCAATTTGATACCGCCCAGGCTTGATCTCGATTTACTAATCATACTAGCAGTGTGTACTTCAAGTGAAAATACGCAGAGACAGTTATTACAATTCAAAAGATTGTTATTTGTGGAAAGTCTTTTTATGAAGATTAACATCTACCCCCTTTGTTCAAAAACACTCCAGAAAGTGGTCCACTGCCACTATGATATGTACGAGATGTGACAAAAACTACAGAAAGTAGCACTAAATAGCAGGGTTGGAATATGTAAAATTTGGATTTTTCTGGTTACCATGCATATGAATCACATGTACATGTACGTGAATACCTCTCGGCACTTTTTAATGTACATGTATACACCATAGAGACCCATCTTGTCTGTCCTCAAAGAAAAGTTGGTAGGAATGAGTGAAGTTGTGAAATTTGCGGAAAACTCTTTTTGCTCTACCAGGTGTGCATGTATGTCAACTTTTTGCCCCAACTGTGCATGTACCTGCATCATGCCTTTTGATTTAATTAACGATCGGATAAAACTCAATGCCACTTTGATTCTTAAAAGTCTTTGGCCGACATGTTGCACATTTGTTTTCCCAACAAAATTTGGGTGTCAACGTTTATGAGTTAGAAACGTCTTTTGGCCAAAAACAGTACAAACAGGTAGCTCGTCATTCCTTGTAGTTGAATGAATGAGGACGATTCACAATAGCACGCCATCAAGAGTTTGCAGTGTGTTGGCCAATCATAACGCTCAAAATTTGTCGACCATTTCCAAAACGCGCATTGGGTCGCCAAATTTACGCATTGTGATTGGCCAACGCATTTAAAACTCTTGGTGGCGCACTATTGTGAAACGCCTGTATTAGTCAACACTGCCCGAGTACTTTGACTTCAATCGTACATGTACAACTGGTTCTGAAATACATGTATGTACATGTACACAGTACCATGCATTTCAATTTAAATAACTGACGAAAAAGACTCAAGGCATCACTGGAGCGTGAAGCCAACAAATTTGGTCAAATTGGTATGGCATCTTTCTTAACTATCCTCACCTTGAACTTGACCTTTTTGACTGACGTTTTGCAAATTTTGAAGCAACTTTTTAAAAATGCATAAGACCTATCAGGATAACATTCACAACAAATGTCCAATACTTGAAGGCACCTATTAAGGTACCGCACCTGTTTTTACTCAATGCAGAGCAAAAAACTCATTCACACACCAAACTGGCACAAATGCACGTATAAACAACCTGCTGAGCCAAAAACTCTGCAAATGCCGTGAGCATGGTGGTCTGGATTTTCACGTCAAATTCCAATATAACCTGTGAGCTGGCTAAGTGGAATCAGAACCTGCCCAATCTGGTGACATTACAAGTGGACTTGGCTTTTTTCTGGCCATTAATATACAGATCTTCACTCTGTGGCAGATCAACAGCAGATCTGTTCCACATCCACATGACAGCTCGCGTGAAGGTAATGAACCAGAGGCAACAGCCTGACGATGTCTGAGAGTGCCTTCCCGCCTCCGATATCAGCCTCTCCTCTTCAGCTCGGACCTCGACTTTAACCCCTTCTCTACGGATGACTGCAAACGCAGCATCATAGTGTGAGGATTAGTGCATACCACACATACAGTCTATTCATCATGCAGCTGCCGGTTCAATGGGGCCTGCTGCTGGACAGAGCTTTGCATACTGGACATACCACAGCCCAGCAGTCACGGTCAAAAGAATCCCGCCGGGAAGGGGTTAAGAGCAGGTCCATCAAACCAGGCTCCCATTTGTGTAACAAAAATGGGTCTTACGTTAATTTATTCCTGACGAGTACATGCTTAGTCGCTCTGCCGTCTCCAGGACCGCCTTGAGGTTGTCGTCAAAGAGTTGGCACCTACAACATCATGGCACAAAATAACATCAACATTTCAGAACAACACAAAGTCCGCAGCGCAACTCAAAAAGCAATTTGCAATATGACACTAAAAGGTACAGCATGTCAAATTGACAAAACACCCGGATAAACACGAGTACCTGGGTAATTCCAGAAATTAGGGGTGCATTTTTTTCGTGTCCCTGTCACGTCTGACGAATGATTTTGTAAGTTCAGAACACATTTTTAATTTCCAAGAGTGATGAATAAATGTAAACTACCTGCCAAACAAATGGTAATAGTTGGAAATCAATTCCAGTGATACATTCATGTCAAATAATAAATGTCCGGTGTAACAGGGACACAAAACTTTCACACTTTTGGACTCCTATTTCTGGAATTAGCCACCTGTCATTTGATTCATGTGTTGATGATCACATGTCATTTTATTACTTGACATGGGATTTTACGTTATTTCTTAACCCTAACCCTCCTCAATCCTCCAAAATCCTTCAGGCGGTTTTGGAGGATTTTGGGTGAATGGCAAAAGTGCCTGGCTGCTTGCAAAGGACGCCATGAGTGAAGGTCCCGGATTAGACCTTGTGTTGCTTTCTTATATTCAAGCACAAATTCAGCCCGATATTTCTTTTGAATCAACAGCACACCTCAAGAATGCCCTTTGCACTGCCTCAACATAATGACAGGAATTGCCGGAGGATTTTGAAGGATTGAGGCAGTAGGCACACACCTCCAAGAAAAACATTTTCCAGAAATTTCGGAAGATTTGGAAGGATTGAGGCTGAATGCAATTTTTTCATGTCGGAGGCTTTTGGAGGATTGATGATGGTTCCCAATAAAAGGCCTAGGTGGTTAGGGTTAAGGTTCTATGAGCCAACACTTACCACACAGCAATACAAACAGTGAATAAACCAAGCAGCAACTTTACATGTACCATTTCTTTTTCCATTCTGCTGCTGGGCAGTTTTAAAATTTGGCCATCCCCCCATCCACAAAAGCCAGATTTGAAAACACACTGATTAAAACCAGTGATTGAAACTGACAAGAAACAGTATACCTGTACATACGGCTGCTTCATGGGTGATTGAATGAGAGCTCCCCTTCTATTAGAAGCTGACAAATTCATTTTTAAAAGCTTGCAAAACCAAGAGTAAACATGGACTACAAGTACATGTATATTTGATGTGTCTGCTTTACCATGCTTCATACAAATTCATTTGCATTTCAATTTTAGGCAGTTTTAAACACTTATGAACATGTATGTGCTTCCATCTGTTCAGGTATAGCTATGGCGATGCTTACATGTACGTGTGAATACTTCGCCTAGGCATTTTTATTTCCACACTATGGTTTTTCTCCACAACTTGGAACTATCCATCTGAGCACAAGAATGATGCAGTGGTGTGTAATTTACAACTGCTGCAGCATCTGAAGAGTTTCAGCGCAGAATGATATCCATTTTATTGATTTTGACATAATGCTTGATTATTGTCTGCTAAAATAAAGAAATAAGCGGATATTTCCTCAATTCATCATATCTCCAAAAATACATATCGGGATTCAACAGACGAAGTGTCAATTGGTGGATATTTTTATGAACAATATATCGATCATCTTAACTCAGTTTTCAAACTGGTGGATAAAGTGTTTTGCGATGAAACTCTTAATCTTCTCTTCCGTACACACTGAGTTTCAGAAATTTTTGATACGGCTCACCCCACTCTCAATTCAAGATGGCCCCTTGTGAATAAAGCCAAATTGGCTCTCAATCATAAATATGTGTGAGATTTGATAGCAGAATGCTCAAGGCTAATACCTGATGGGCATGTCGATTGAGTAGAAGGGGTTCTTCAGGGCAAAGTCGGAGTACACCTCGTAGATTTTCTTGAGGAGGGCGTCAATGCCGCCCTGCTTGGGATCAGCCAACACGATCAGCTTGATACCTGAAAGAAACAGGCCCAAAAAAGTGCCCTTTAAACTACAATTGTAAATGCACTTGTGTGCCACAAGTACATGTACATACAGATCTTCATCCATGAACTCTGCAACTATCTTTATAAAGTTTCATGGCCCTTGAACTTTATGCTAATGGTATTTCAATATTCATGAGCAGAGCCATGATTTCATCTGAGGCAGACTCTTCATTGAGACAGCTGCAAGTGAAAATACATGTTTTTCCAAAACGATTCCCCAATAGAGCAGTGATACCTTAACCCTAACTCTCCTCAATCCTCCAAAATCTTTCGGGCAGTTTTGGAGGATTTGGGAGGATTGAGGGTGAATGGCAAAAGTGCATGGCAGATTGCTAAGGATGCCACGATTGAAGGTCATGGGTTAGACCTTGTGTTGTTCCTGCTCAGTCAAGGATAAATTCAGCCCAATATTTCTTTTGAATCAATCGCACTGCTCAAGAATGCCATCCGCACTGCCTCAACATAATGACAGGAATTGCCGAAGGATTTTGAAGGATTTAGGCAGTAGGCACAACTCCAAGTAACATTTTCAGGAAATTTTGGAGGATTTCTAAGGGGTGAGGAAGAATTCAATTGTTTTCACCCCAAGTTGGAGGATTCTGGAGGATTGAGGAAGGTTCCTTGCAAAAAGGGCCTAAGGGATTTGGGTTAAGGTACCCACCTTAACGATTTCATGTTTATTACAATAGTACAACTTCAAATCTGAAAAGGCTTAACAGCCAAGTTAAATAGAAAAAGACGCGACAAAACTTTTGTGCAGATCAACTTTTACAAAACTGTGCCGTACAAAGGACAACCCTGGGGAAAAATTACACAACCTGCACAAGTCTTTTAGGTTGCACAAATCGATTATGTCCATATACTGGTACATGTAATGCACATGCATGCAAGTCACATTTGATCAAATAAGCATTTGTCTGCAAGGCTTTAGCAGACAGTGACAAGACCCTCGAGTGGACAAACACTCAGGGGTGCATCAAGCATGGCCTCCCAAGACGCAGCTCACGATGATGACTCTGTTACCGTACGCTGGACACAAGTAAAAAAAATCAAATCCCAGAAACCTACCTGAGAGAGTCTGCAGACAGTGCAGCTTGAAGGAGTCTGTCTCTAGGACCTGAATTCCTGACGACTTCTGCGCTGGGGACAGCTGGGACCCGATGGCGTAAAGGCTGAGTTGGGGGGAAAAAAGTAATCAGAGCATAATGTGCTCTCTGAAATGCAGGATGAGAAATATGGAGCAGGGTACAGGGGGGTCTAGTCATTTCATTTGGGCCTTGCAAAATTGGGAGTCAAAATTTTTCAAATTGTCTCAAGTTTTACCTAGTAGCTAAATTCAAAATTCTGCTCAATGCAACACAGCTGAAATGAGACGCCTTGTTGAATGCAACCAAATTAAGCTTAGGTGAAACAGCCTGTAAGAACGCCTGCAGAATGCAACAAAGCAGTGCAACGCAGCTGAAATGAAAGCTCAAAGTGTAACTCAGCTGGAGTGCAAACTCTGCTACATGTACATGTAAATTGTATTACAAAATGCAACGCCAACTTTTGTTGCATCATCCAGAGTACTGAACGATACCAATCTTGAGTAATCTACAGAGCAAATATCGCTATCATGTGCATTCCAAAGGAGTCCTAACCTCAGTACAGTTCAATACTTACGAATGGAACATGCTGGCTAGCATGATGCGCTCATTGGTGGAGAGCTTTGGCCTGCCAAACTTGATGGCTATTGGGTAGTTTTCGGGGTTGGCTATCATCTCGAGGACATCCCTGCCATCCTCCAGCTGACGTCCTCGCACCGGCTCTCCATTGATGCCAAGTATGGTGTGCCCCACTGTACAAATTTGAGTTCCAAAAAGGAGAGAAATTGGAATTTGAAGTTGAACTTTTTTTTCCCTCTAAAAATCCTCTAAGTCCAAGGTTAAACCTGTACATTACATGTGTACAAGCGTGCACATGATGTATGCACTCATATGCAGTTTGGATGGAAATAGAAATCAGGATTTAAACATACATGTAATCATGCACAGCGCATTTGATTCTCATAGTTAACCCTCCTTTGGTTTTACAGCACAAATGTGCACAAATGCCCACAGTCACTGGTGAGCATGTATTTTCTATATGGAACTCAAACATGCACAGGTTCAATGTGTACACAGTTGGTTGTCAGCACAAAATGACCCAGGGTCTTTTGTGCAGTCCTCTTCACTGCATTTGGTTTACTGCACAATTGTGCACATGAAACAGTAAAGCACAGTTGTTGGGCAGCACAAAAGTGCAATCTGATATTCCTGTGAGGGACTGTTTGTGCAGTTATTTTTATTTATATTTTTTAAATTCTTCTTCACATCAATGCAAAAAGGGGCCAAAATTACGGGGGTTCATGGCATTAGCACCCTGTTCCTACACAGCAGATTCCATTATAGCGCTCTCAAGGGGACCAACATGTAACAGAGAAGAGCGTTATAACCACACATCGCTACAACTGACTGAATGCACGGCCAACATGTGCAACGCACATGTGCACAGGGACCTGTATATACATGTATAAATACATGTATTTACATGTACATATATGTACCACTATGTCATGTACATGTGAATTTCATATGTAAATGTAATAGCGGTTGTATGCACCGTATATGCCTTATATCAGTTTATCTCGACGTTTTCGTGACACCGATTAAAAAAAATCTCCTCTTCAAAAACTACCACGGGACCTCGTGCATGCTGCATCTACACCCACCGTGACATCCTGACTGCTACTGCGTACCCATTCATGGACAGTCCAATCGCTGACTTTTCCTAATGACCATGTGACCACAGAAAGTGCCATGTCAATAGAAAACCCAAGTGAAAACGGATCCGACATGTCACGCCGAACACAATCGGCGAAAAGATCAGATTTGGTACACAAAGATACACGTACAATTTGAAGTGGCTGATTTTATTTATCAGTAGAAAGAAACCTTTAGGTAATAAAATACAACATGTGGCATCTCAGTGTTGATTATTGTGTCCCAAACTACACCACAAAAATACATGTAAATAAAGGGTACGAAAATAATCACTACGATGTTGCCAGAGCAAAGCCACACGGCCACGGCTCACCGTGGTGAGCACGTGCTCGCAATCGCGCTGCATTGACTGCCAGCCCAATGCATGTCTGCACTCTGCGTGATCGCTAAATTGCTAGTGACCAGGATGGCCTGCCAATCGACAAGGCCTTGCGATGCATTTTCATATGCGTTGATTTTCAAAGAATCCGATTTTCCAAGGTAAAGAGCGTTGTAACCGGAATCATTTTACAAGCTTACTGTGGTTCTGGGGGCCAAAAATGGTGAGCGTTATATCCCGAAAAGCACTGTAAATGGGAGTGCTTTAAGTATTTATGTACACAGTGAATGGGCGTGCAGTTGGGGAAATGAAAATAGAGCGTGATATTGGTAAGAGCATTATATTTATCATATCAGGGAGCGCTATAACAGGAATCTACTGTAGGCCCCCTGATAAGGAAACAAAGTCCACGTTCTCAAACAAACTAACATTTTGACCTTAGGGTTAAAAAAGGAACCATTGCTCAATCCTGCATCCTGATACATGTACGTAGGCCTAGTTTTGGTAAATTTTTACAATATTATAATTATTATTTATATTACAATAGGAACAGGGTGCTGAAGGTAATGAATGAACCCCAAAAATTATCAGGGTATTAAAGTAAAATCTTTCTTGAAAATATTAACAAACAAACCTTTGATCCCGTCTCGCTGTCCAAACGACACCACCACCCGCTCATCGTAGATTTTAAGCGTCAGCTCCAACGGGAAACTGAACGTCTTCTCCACCTCTGTCTTTGGCTGGGTGTGGTCCATCTGGTAGATCAGACCCCCAGCTCGATTGATCACGTAAACACTGTAAATTGGCATCCTCCTAGGCGACGATCACGAGCGATGGAAAAAAGTCATGAAAATCACGGCTACATTTGTGACACGGTACACACGTACATGCACACATATTCGATAGATATCTTTTATTTCAGCAGCGCCCTCTAGTGCCCACTCATGGTACGGCTAGACTTGGTTCCTGGTTATTCCACCCATTGACCTTTTAGTTGCATACTCCCACTTCAAAAAAGTAAGAAATATACTGAGAAGTTTCTCAGGTATCCAAGACCATTATGTTAAAGCTCACGTCCTCATCTTTCTTTTCTCTTTCAATTTTCAGTGGCTTAACTGATTTTTCATAACTTTTTTTTTTTTTTGCAGAGATAATCGCGCCTCAAAACAGTAGCGAGGCCCCATCACCGTTTTGGAACTTGATACACTCCAGTCCACTGCCAGTGTGGAGCAATTTGCTGGTCACCATTTCGTCCGATTCTCTCAGAAAACCAAGATATCACTGCTGCTGATAACTTCCATATCCTCCTCGATCTACTCATTCCAGCCTATTTCCGAATTTTGTTTTATTCATTGCTTTGTTGCTTGAAATTTTTTTATTATTGTTATATCGTATTTTTATTTCATGTCATATTGATGTTGTTCTTATTTCCATATTGTTCGCGTTAAAAAAATCATAATTTTAATCGTTTCCTGTCTCCTATTTGAAAAGTTGGAGAGCCCCTCGACAGAAAGTATGTTTCTTTGGGCAACCCAGCGGGTAGCTTGCGTCCTGTATGTTTTGCTATAAATGTTGACATATCTTTTGTGTATTGAATGTCTTTGTATGTCTATCCCGAAAAACGAAATAAATGAAATCCAGTCCGTGAGTACCACGAAATACTGTAATACATGCAGCAAAGACTTTGACAGCAAGTGAAATCGTAAATCTGTCCAGGCGGGCAATGTGGGCCTCCTCAAGCGTAGAGGCCGGCCTGCAACTTTGCACTTCTTCACGTATGTTGCAACGAATCTTAGGATCCGCCGTACCGTAATCTCGAGAATCGGTCATCGCAACTGGGAATGTTCCGTTCCCTAAAAATATCTGCGCGTGTGGTAACATGATTTATTCATTGGGAAAGTGCGGGGTCAATTTTTTATGTAAACCTACTGAAATGAGTGGGATAGAATTGGGTTAGGGTGACAGTCAACTGAAACCGGTTTATTGCTTTCAATTGCTGTTGCACCTCTTTTTTTTTTAATATATTACAGCAAATGGACGTAGATGTTGAACTATCCGCTCCGAGCGAAATCCTGAAAAAACCATGCAGGTGTTTGTTTGTTTGTTTGTTTGTTTGTTTGTTTGTTTGTTTTTCCCATCTCACAGCCAGCAGCAATTTCTTCCCCGCCCCTCCACCGAGCTCGGCTTTGCCGTGCCTGACAGAACTTTGCAAAACATGTAAAAATGAGAACCGTAAACTTAATTAGACATCGTTACGGTCATTGGAACTCGCGCCGTGGATGGAGAAAAGTATACATTTTGGATGTGATATAATGATGTTTCGCTGGTCGTAAGTTCGTAACAATATCAGAGACAAACCACCCGGTTACATTTGAAATCTGTGAATAAATTGAATGTCCGTTGTACTGCACCTGTAGCTTATTTTCTTGTGGGTGACCCCTTAAAAAATATGTGGACCTGGCTGCCTCCCCCTTCGGAAATTGAACCCTGGTTACAGCACGTACAGGTTGCGTTACGGGTTTTGCAGATTGCAGTGATCGGCAGAAAGTAACTTGTATGGTTCTTGATAATTAAGAGCCGAAACTTGCGGCGAATTATTTTGCGAATCACTACGATCTGTAAGATTGTTGTTTTTTTCTCCGTGAAAATGATTTGGTTATGTATGGGCTGGAAGTAGGTCTACATATAAGTCTATCACTATCGTACTTGTGAACATCCGCGTAAACATTATGGGATAATGATACATTTCTTGTCTGGGAAGACTGACTGGAATAACTTATAAGTAAGTCACATGACAATTACTAATACTTTTTGCATGGTCACCGGATTTTGGGTGTGAACTATCCTGATAATAGCAGGTAACTAGAGAGGACACTGATGATGAGGAAGAGCTGTGATGAGGCGCGGAAACATCGTTTCTTTCAGAACTTTCGCCGTGTACCTGGTTTTCGATTTACTAAGCTCAGTCGTGTGTCAAGAGAGCCAATTAAGCCAATTAAGTTTGGTCGGGCAGCCGCCTCGTGGGAGTGGGAACTGTGTGGAGAATCATAGTAGGTTGACGGTTGGGAGTTAGTGGCACTGATCAGTCTGATTTGTCTCTCTTTGGTTTTTATGTTCTCTGTGGGCTCACCAAGCTCGATTTTTTGTAATACCCAATGTGCAGAGTACATGTACATATACATTGTACAGTAGTTCTACATGTTGTGCACGCGCAGTAGGCCTATGTGCGCTGTCGATCACAGTAGATCATGTTCCTCGTGGATGACCTTTGGTCCCCGATGTGTATTCCATTCAGCAATATGCGTAGTCGCCGCTGCAGTCGCAGTGCAGGCTATGAGCACGGCCCGTAGCTTATTAATTTTCGGTATTAAACGTGTATAGCATTCATGTATTAGTAGGTAAGTACATGATGTGTTGTGTAGTATCGCTTTGGAGGATCATTTTGCAAAATGCTTGCTCAACTGTGAATGCAAACCCGATGTACACCGCAGTTGAGGAATATTGAAGAATTCAGCCTTGTACTGGATTGAAGTGCTGCAATTAAAAAGTTGGCCAAGCAAAAACTGGTTGAGATTAGTTTTCCTGTTGTTATAATTACCATGATTGTATAATAAGTATAATGCAAAAATGTATTTCTGTGCCTTAAAAAATGATAACGTCCTGTACGTCCTTGGAAAAACGTCCTTGCCTGGGTTGGATTTGCTCTCATTCCTGAGTAGTCGACAGACAAAGAGTAGAATTTGGAAAAAAAGGCCAGTGTAGGCTGTGTCTTGTCTCCCACCACCTGCTGTTTGCGCACACGCCCGAACTTCATCCGAGGCACGTTCCCGAAGTGCTACTGCATATGCAAAAATAATTCGCTGATTGGCATGACCGGGAACAAGTGTTGCAGGATTCCTGCGGCCTGGAAAAGTCATGAAAAATCATGGAAATTTGTTTATCCCTTTTTCAGGCCTGAAAAGTTGTGGAATTTTGTAAAAATGACTAAAGTCATGGAAAAGTCATGGAATTTTGTCATGGAAGTCATGCAGCACTGTGTGATTTCTATTATCAGAGATAACTACATAAAATATGTGATTGTATTTGCAACCTGAAAGGCCACATAGGCCTAGTCCAAGAAATTGCAGTATTTGGTCGTGGATTTTCATAATTTGGTCATGGAAAAGTCATGGAACTTAATGGTCCTTCAGGTGCAGGAACCCTGGACTGTTGGCAAGGGATTAATGGGACAGAAACTACTATGGCCGTAAATGAACACAGTTTAGTAGTCTTGTCAGTGGCTAAAATCTTTACTTTCTCGTCGCATAGGGTAATAACCATAATGAAACATGTAAACTTATTTATAAAACATTCTACAAACACTTTTGCTGATGTGGAGAGATAGTTTACATTAATTATACATCGGAATGCAGGTAACGAATGTTATCAAATTATGTCCAGCATAATCATGAAAATTACTTTCACATTATAATTGTAAAGCTAGTTTGACAAGCAAAAGCCTTCAGAAATGTTGCCACTCTCAAATTGTACTTTGTATAGAGTATTCAGAACCACAATAAAGTTCGCACTGATGGCGTGTATCTTCTGAATAAGAGATGACAACAAAACAACTTCACCATAAGGTATTTTCTACGACACTTACGGTATACACTCACTAATCTAAATTGCTACCAAAAATAAAGCTTTTCTTGGAATTGTCAGCGACACTAATTTTTTTTTACATAAGAGGACTTTATTATGTGTAATTACTCAACTCTTTATTTAGTGTCTAATCGATCATTAAAACCTCAAGATAGTTTACATATTCTTGTTTTTAGAGAGCCCCTCAGGTTGCTGATCTTTGGTCAGGAAGTTGGCCAAATTGGATATTTTTTTCGTTCAAAACATACTGACTGTACCATTTTATCCACCCAATTTGTCGATTCTAACCCCTACATTATGACCATCGTCCTTGTCATGTCGGCGCACCCAATTAATTAATGAGGTTGCAGTTGTGGAGTCGAAATTTCACTCTACGCCAGTCCATGTGTACATTTACAAAGTGTGTGCTGTGCGACTCCAAACCAATGCGTTCATGTGCCATACCGCATAAACGCGCAGCGCACACATTTTTACTGTTGGAAGAAGAGCGTGAGAAAAATACGACTGCCGACTTAAGCTGGACAAAAAAACAAGAAATTACAAAAATCCAAATGCCGCACCCTCGTACTCGTATTCATTACAATAAATCAACATTATAGGCAGACGTTTGAAGCACAGTGGACAATAAGTGCATGAAACACTATCCAAGCCGAGCTTTTATGTTCCACCTAGAAAAAACAGGATTTTAGTAATAAACGTATTAATAAATTGACCTCTTCTAACTTCTACGAACTTAAAGAGTTCTCGTTTGTTTAATTTATTTGAAAGAGTAATTGCTTTTACAAAACAGTACAGAACAATAAAACTCTGGGGTAAAAATTAATGACAAAAACCCCACACCTAGTACCGTTATGTAATCCTTGAAACAAAGACAAAGCCTTCAATTGTTAGTATTGACGTGGCTTTAGTCAAGGAATCTCTATTCTAACATTAAAAATAACAGGAATACACAAAACGTATGACTATACGCAATAATGAAAATGTTCATATTTGTGTGTTTATTTCTTGTGGATACTTATCACAATGACCCTCATCAACAGGACACTATTCAACACACAAAAACATCCTGATTTTCTGAAAACCCGTGCTGCTGCTAGAATTGCAAAGCTACACAGGGCCTCTGAAAAAAAATACACTGGAATTGGATGGTCCCGTAATCGGATCAAGGATCCTACACTGGCAACAAGGGCGCTTTTTAAAAATTCTATGGTTATCATTTATCACTTGAGATAAGGTCGGTCGGTCGAAAAAAATTCTTAAAAAAAAAAAAAGAATACACGAACCCACGGAAAGGCGCGGTGTACCGAATGTTCACGCGAACGCCGACCGTCGCTGTTGGTCGTTTGCGAAATCGTAGGTTTTCAGGGCTTTTGTTTTTAAAGGTCATGCTGGCCAATTTTTTGCCTTCATTTTTTTTTTCTGGGGGGGGGGTTAGGTCTTTTTAGCAGGGTCGGCGGGGAAAAAGAGCTTTTTTTGTGATCGCGAGCCCAAAATGGGGTCGGTTGGAAATGAGAACCATAGAATATAAAAAGGGTGCCCTAATAGAGAACTACTTAACCATCTACTTAACTACGTTAACGGCAAATACCACATCTTCGACTTTAAAATAAACTATGAAGCGTTGCATTTCCTTTTTATGGGGGGGAGACTTTGTTAGAAACTAAATAAAAAAGAGATTTAAAAAACAATATTTTCAATGTGAGTTTTATGAAATGCATATAGCTGATAAACCCTCAAAACGTTAAGCAAGGAACTTTTACAAACGCTTGTGTTTACACACGAACATCACCCCACTGATTTAAGATAGATGTAGACGGGAGACGGCCAAAAAGCGCGCCTTTCCTGAAAGTTTCAAGGTCAAAGGTCACGGGAGTCAAAGGTTATTCAGGGTCACCGAACGGGGACACTCCTTCTAACCCTAGCGCATTGAGGATGCATGACTTTGGCTTATTTCGCACGTTATTCCGCGCTGCAAGATAGAGGCTGACAGTCACGCAGGGTTTTAATTAACCATTTTTGTATACCCTTTTTGTTTCTTGTTTTCACCCACAACATGCTTAAATTTTAAATTGAAATGCGCGATTCACAATCCAAGAGTTTGCAACGCGTCGGCCAATCACAGTGCGCGAAATCTGTCGTCCCTTTCCAAACGCGCATTGGGTCGACTGTTGTGACAGTCCTTCTGTCGCAACAAGCTTGGGGACCATTTCATGGTGTGACGGTTTTTAATAAGATTCCATTGTACGACGCCAGATATTGGCGATTAACATATCACCCAGAAAAAGTATAAAAAGTGTATTCACTGCGTCGTTCCAGAACACCCATTCACCCTTGATAAGACAAAGCGATATTTCATTCACAGAACGTCAGGCATGCCTGTTTGAAAAATCGCTTGATAAAACCAACTTATAGATAGCAACATTTGATTTGTGATTATTCAGATGACGATTTGAATCGCCTCATTATGTGCCTTCTCCATTACTTCAATTGGGATCCTTGCCTCTGAACTAAGCCGATACGTGTTGTCTGTCTCTGCATTGTCACTTTGCATGACTGCATTGACGTCATCAATTGTCTTTTGTACGTCTGGTGTGAGCTTTTCAAACTTTGGTTTGTCCAGACCACTACATAAGTCATTGCAGACGTGCTTTTTAAAGAATTTTTGGACACCGAATATGCCTAAATCGGTTGGACCATAGGCCCCAAAAGGCTGTACACAGCTGCAAACAGCCGGGTCAGTGAGCATGTACGCTGAATTGGTACGCACTCCTTGCAAGTCACAAATCAAAAACTCTTTATTGGATTCGATGTAGCTGAAGTGACTGAAGGCTCCAGGTGAAGCCATTTGTTTAGCGTGCACGAATCCACGGTTGCTATTGAACTTCTCGAATTTCCCCTCAAGGTACCGCTCAATCGCAACCTTTGCTGAAGGGGGCATCTTTAATATGCTTTTAATGGTGGCATCATTTGCTTTAACACGGGCGAATTCAGGTTTACAGAACACAATTGGTCTGTTGGTTTGATGTCTAGCGTTGAACAACTCAGCCATCTCGGTTGCTTTGGTGTAGGCACGGTCGTCTGCTTTCCAGGCATGTTGTTTCAGTTCTTCGTTATAATGATCTTTATAGACTTTCACCACACACTGTTTTCCTTTTAAGCGATCGTCGCCGTCGTAGGTGCCCATATAAGCTCGTCGGGAGTTGCCCTCAGCGAATGGCTTCGTCTTAAAAGTAATTGTGGCTAGGGGGTAGTCATCCACTGAACCTTGTGGGATGAGAAAGCTTTCTTCGGCGCCCATTTTGCTTCGAACTCGTTGGTTCTGAAAGGCAACCATTCGAAACAGCTCTTTGGATAATTGTGACAGTGAAGCTTTATCCCAATTGAGCATACTTCATATACTCAGCGGGATTGAAAGAAATGCGCCAGTGATGATGTCATCATTCGTGACAACTCTTCCTATCACAGATGTCATCAGAAGGGGTCTGAGCCCCACCTCGTCATAACGCTGTCGGCGATAACTGGGTGAACTTGGAGGGAACATAGGGGTGAAATCAGAGGAACTGTTCTTCAGATCAGGGTATTATTTACTTACTGCGAGCGAAAAATCCTCGCTGACGGTTGCAGAAACGTCTTTGCTTACGCGATCCTATTTGTGTGTCTAGCTATTTTCATCTTACAGATCTTTGACATTGGATTAGACCTCCGAGTGTTATAGTAGTTTATTAGAGGTTTTCCCCAACATTTCCGAAGATGGTGTTGGCAAGGAGATGCTTTTAAACTGCCAAAGTTTGGAAAATGCGTTTTGAACAGTGTGCCAATCATGATGTTAATGCACAGAAGCATATCGAAGGGATGGAGATTATATATGCCTTTTTTCGTCCTTTGGCGGAAGTGGCACAGTGCAAGCTACTTCAGTTATCAAATTACCAGTTTTAAAAAGCTTTTTTCAGGTATCAAAGTAAAAATATATCTTGAAAGAACACACAGTTGAAATCAGCCAGTAACATGACTTTTAAACTTCCTTACATGTAAAGTTAACTAATTGCCCAACAGGAGTACTAAAATTAATAGTTCGGTTGAGGCTTGTTTTGCGTACATTTACATGTGAGCCTTTAATTTGAATATAATTGTTTGTACTTAAAAAGGAGAGAACACTTCATTTTTATGTTAAGTTGCAGATAAGTGAATTGCAATAATAAAATGGTCACTGAATAGTTCAATTTATTTTAATTCTGAAATATTTCTGATTTGCTCTTTACATGTGTTAAATGTTTGTTGACGACTATGTGAAGTTTTATTGGAATAAGTTTTTTTTGTTTGACTTTTGTCATAATTCTATAACAGGTAAACCACGAAACACAATTCAGGATGTTTGCAAATTAGAATGTTTCCACCTATGTGGAAAGGCAAAACCAACCACATTTTGTACAAATTTATTTAATCAACGTGGACTTTAAGCTATCATTATTCAACAAAATGTTGCAAAGTCAACCAACTGTAGAGGAAAATGACTAACTTGGTTTTACAGACAAACCAACAAATGAGACTAATACCAAATTCTAAGTTTAACCAATCACTGGTAATGAAAATGCAAATGACTGACTGATTTCACGAATGCATGGCAAGTGCACTATCAACCAACAAATCGGACAATCTTAATTTGACCATACTTGGAGTTGCAATTCACCAACAATGAGGTAAACGCTTGCAATGATTGGCTAAAGCAGTTAAAACTCAACTTGTTGATGAAGGTACTTACTAATTGATAGCAATTGATACTAATTGATCAATAATTGATACCTTCCCAGCACCAGTTGGGCTATTGTTGACCAAATGTGTTACAGGTGATAGTTAGGCAAAACTTGACAATAATTGCCTAACTTTTTTGTACAGTGTGAGTACACGGTTGAACTAATGGGTTGACTTCATGATTTACGCGATTCAAGTACTCCACCACGTCCCGATTTACTGGATTTTGTAAAGTAAACAACGAAACCAATTTAGGGAAGGGTTCTTTATGTGACAGCAAGGTGCCGAAGACTGTACACAAGTCGTTAAAAGTCTCCTATGGCACAACCTAGCAACTGTTCGGCTTGTAAGACATGTATTTCCCAAATAAATGTACAAAATGTGTCAGGATTATTTGGCACAACTGCTTCTCGACGCCTATTGGCTGTTAAGAATAGCGAGATTGTATCTAGGGTAACTTTGACCCCTGGAGTAAATCACAGTATGTTGGGGGAGCTCACGGGATTTCCCGCCTCGTTATTCCACTGAGTTGCCAGTACACTGTTTAGCTCCTGTGTTTATTGTACCAGCTGCCAATCACAGAAATCTTTAACTTTGCTCTGGCCTTAATGAGTCTCTACTGAAGACAGGAAACCTAAAGCATAATCACAGCTTCCATTATTTCTTACAGTTACTTTTAGTTGAAATAGGCCAACTGCTTGACATCTTGCACGTGGTTATTCGTTTTATTTAGCGTCAACAGAGTTCAACATACGACTGTTTACTTGTAATATGACTAAATTTGAAATTTGCATACTTAATGTGAACCCTTGGTGATAGTTGAAGCAATGCTTTGTATGTATTCAACATGTAGCGGGTGAGGCTGCCAGGGTATTTGATCTATGCCAAACCGCACGTTTGAGCTTAAAAACCAACTTTAATAATTCTCTGCGTTTGTAGCTAACCTTTACAGTTAAGTGGGGATTGCTTTGGTGGTCCGGGTTCGCTCAGCTTTCTAGTTTTGACCTATTTTCCTGGTATTCTAGCCGCAATAAAATAAGCTTTATTTAACTTATTTTACTTATTAAAATAAGATTTATTTCCAAACCTACATGAGATACCCTATTAAAGTAAATGAAATGGATCTGTTTCAGGTCGAAAAGTGAAATAATAGAAGTGGCATCGTCAGTTTTGAAAATGGCCAGGTGGTGTGGAAATGCGATTATGGAAGCTTCCGGGTTGTAACGAATTTACGTTGAATGCACAATGAAACGTGTTAAAGTCAAAATGGAGACTACTCTGGGGAGACACAACGGTACTGCGTGTCAGGAAGCAGGAAATAAGAAAATAACAAATTTAAGTTCTACACAGGTTTAAGTACTTATATTCTGGCAATATTTTTAGAACTACGAGAAAATATTAACCTAAACAATAATGGATTGAAATTTTGCTTTAAAAATTATGAGTTTTATGCATGTCAGACCTTTCAGTCCATGTTTCCTTTTCTTTCTCAGGCTTAAGGTAAGATTGAACATTTTTCTGAACTAATCTCAGACACCTACCTTTAGATGTTTGCAGTCCTTGTGTTTTGCATGAACTCGTTGAGGGTGACAGAAACGGTTTCTATAGCATTTAAAAATGATTATTATAATGTTCAATTTGTGGTAGTCGTAAAATAAACACATTGTTCACTTTGCAATTGTGCACAATACTTTCTAGATTTTGTTACAGCATCCGAAAAAAAATACATGTCTGTATTATCCATCCACGAGTCGTCTCTGCAGAACTCTTTGATTTTACTGAAAAGGTTCTGTATTAACAGGTTTGCAGGATTTAAGTTCCTACGTGGGAAAACTGCCTACATATTCTACACAAGTTAGGTTTTCAATGTAAAAAATTCTACCAACCAAATCAACCTCAGCGAGTGATTCTTTCTTTCAGAGGAGTTTTATAGGGCCACCGGCCACTGGAATTATAACCAGGATCTCTTACGATCAGACGTACATGCTGTTGTCCAAAATGTGACCTGGAAAAATGGCTCCAGATCAATAAAGGAAAAAAACTAAAAGAACAAAATCTAAACGTGTGGGGAAATCGCTTTATGGCAACCAAAAAACTAACTGAAATCTTTCAGGGAGGGATCGCGAGATTACTCTACATATAAAACTACAAACAGAGTTTAAATTTCCGCACAAAAAATTGAAAATGGTTTATTTCCTCAGACTGTATTTGGACTGCTAAATCTATGAACCAAATTAATTTCGCTGAACACATTTTAAAAATAACCTACCCTGGTTTTAATTGAAGACTTCAACAAACGGACTGAGACCTAGAAAACCTAGACCAACCTGATCGAGACCATCAAAATTTGAACAAAACCATAGACCAAACTGTAAAAGTACAAAAAAAGATAAACGAATCAAGTAACTTCAATAAAATAATACAACAAAAAGACCAGAGTAAATTTTAAGAAAAAGAAACCAAGAAAAGAAGACCGACAACTGTGCTTAAAAGGAAAGTTACAAATCAAAAGCACTTAAGCTTAAACAACCCGCAAACAAAACAAGAATCAAAGAATATTTAAACTACATCTACAAATCATGAAGGTGAATTATGTGAAAACAGTAAAACACAGTAGATGTCAAACGGAAACTGGGAAAAACACAACTCACTGAGTTTACACATGTACATAGACTGAATACATGTATTATAAAATCTCACATGTGGCACACACTCATACTGCAATGTACATGTATACTGGCTAAAATACATTAAGACTAAAGGTAAACTATGTGGCAGAATATTTAGTGAGATCTAAGTACTCAGGCTGGACACAGCACATGGCACAGTTTCATTGCTGGCTGTACCCTCCTGAGGTCAATCCACTCTGAATAAACAAACTGACCGCATGTACTAGAGTGGTCATCAGTCATTCTACTCCTAAAAACCCAGAGTCAACGTGTGTACAAACAGGTCTAGGTGGGCACTAAAGCAAAGTAATATCTGTAATGCAACATACTGGCATCAAGTCTAGATTTAGCGCATGCTGCTTATACAATGATTCCTTAGAATATTCCTTGGCAACCACTAAAAACTTGTCATGTTATCAAGGAATTCTAAATGTCTTCCATAGTACTAAACCAAGACAAAATTAACAATTCATCATTTCAAAGTTTGAGAGGCAAATGCTATTCTCTTACCCAAAAAAATACATTGAGAAAGCCACAAAATCAAAGGACCAGAGTACTTAGCTTTCCTTTGTTCAAACTTTCACAAATCCATTGATCGTAAGATGTGCTTTCTTTGAAGCTGTATACAATTACTTCATTAAGGCAAATGGTGTAACCCACATGTACATGTAGCCTTATTTACATCTGAGATCAATGACGGAAACAGTCATGCCTTGGAAAAGTTTAACACAAGAAGTAGAATAATTTAGCATGTGCTCATGTCATTTCATCTTATAAATCCAGCAAGTACTCTGAGATAACACAAACTATGATCTTCCCTAAGGCTTATTTGAAACTAAAGTTCACACTAACAGATGAAGAAACTTTGCTCAAATCTAAACAGACACTTCTCCCTTGAATCTGTCCACAAAGTACATGGACACGGCCATAAACGAAAGCAAACCTTATTATGAGAATCGTGCAACAACATTTATGAATAGATCCACAATGATGATGCAAGGTGTAAAGGGGGTGTCACGTTAACCACAAACCTTTTGAGGGTAACACTCCTACATGTATATAAAGTACAACTGGAAATTGCCTCTGCCACATAAGCACTATCTCTGTTGTCAGCATCTATTTAACATCCTGCTTAACTGTTATGATTTAGACATTTTCTTGATGATGATTGCCTTCCAAACCTCGGAAATTTGCATTCATGTAACATTTGATAAAGGCCAGCATAAAGAAATACAATTGTTTTAAACAAAAAACTAAAAAATCTCCTCTCTATCTCATATTTTGCTTTGCTCTCATTTTGCTTCTCCCTTGATTGTCCAAAAAGCTCCTGACTTCCAGCTGAACTTAGGTTACACAATACACAAAATTGCCAGTTAGGCGAAACTTACTGTTTTACCTTCAACCATAAAAGCTGTATTGCTTCGATTTGTTAGTTGAAAAGGATGCCTCCAACAATTTACTTTTGCCAAAATCGTTGCCTTCGAAAATGCAACCTTGAAAGCTTCATGAAGTGTTCAGAAATCGGCTGGCGTTCGCTTTTATAGCATCCTATTAATAGATCACTGGAAATTCCAGACACTGACGATGTGACACGCTTTCGGCTACTCCAATTTTTCCATGGAGGTGTAAGCTTACTCCGAGAGAATAAAGGAAATGAAATCTACGTATGACACAATTGAGAATAAAACGGAATTGTGCTTGTTCCTACCCTTAAAAAGTGGTACTGTCCCCCCTCAAGGCTTTGCGTATGTTGGGTTTTTCCAGTTTTTCAGTTGATAATTAGATGCCACAAATGCAAACCTGCCTGGTCTGCCAATAAACCAAAAGGAAACGTAAGGATACATATTTCGGACAGTGAGGACTATCGGCCTGTGTTAAAAAGCGATATTCGTTCTTCTTAGGTTGGTTTTCTCCAGAAAAACAGCTAAACTGTAGCTACAACTGTGCAGCATTCAAGTAGTAGCTTTCACCAAAGGTGAGTTTTGTAAATCTTGTTGGAATTTCACCGGAAAATTGTGCAGTCGAATGGCTTGCTCAAAATTGCACGAGGTTCATATTTAAAAAAAAAAAAAGATAAACGGTCAGATCTCTGTTAAAGACTCATAGTTTCATAATTCACTTCTTGATAACCGAATTAATATTGAAGAATAGAGACAAGAATATGAATTCGTTTTGTCTCCATCTTTCCTTTAACAGACTCGGAGAACTAATCACCAAAAACTGCATATCCATTGTTTTAAAACGATTTTGCAAATATTTTCTTTTTACATTTTTCGATAAATTAAACAAGCATATTTCTGTCTCTGAAATTGCTACTTAATAGTTGTTTTTGGTTTTTAAAAGTGACATGATCATTTCCAAATACATTAAAATCATGCAAAAATAGTTTGGCAACGAAACCTGTACAATTACAGGACTAGCTGACAGACAAAGAACTGGTACTTGTGCATACGAAAACTTCTTTGAAATTGCTTTGTTTTTTTTGTATTTTTATACCTTAAGCCTGTGATGTAATGCCTCGATCTAGAGCCCCAGCCTGCCTTAAAGCCTAAAGGCTTGAAGGCAAAAGCCTCGGACTTAACCTTGAATGCCTTACAGCCTTGCTGTCAAAAACCCCAGGCATATTAGTTTTCAATTTTGCTGTTATTCAAACGTAGGACAACCTAGGGTCGGCTTTGAATCATTTTGCAAAGGCTGCATTATATGTAACGTTACCGTCTTTTGTTATGGATAGTAGGCCCAATTACGTGTTACATGAATAAGCTTTGATTTTGGCCACAAGTCCAATGTCCCCGGAACTGAAGCTTTACTCGTGTAAAAATTATGGGCCTCTAGTCACATGGTCTCATCTCACCATGAGGTTGTCATATACACAGATCATTTTACTTATTTTGCTTGTCAGCATTCAGTTGTCAACTATAGATCTCTGTTATACTGAGTTTTATACAGCATGCTCCCAAAAAACACAACCCAAATATATCGTCAGTTCTTCTCCCAAAGTAGTAATTAGAAATGCTGTCAAATTAAAGCTGACAGTGTTTTCTATTCATACAAAAAATTCATTTGAGTATCATTCTGTGATGCAGAGATATTTTCAATTACAAAGCACAATCTGTCCAATGGAAGTTAAAACACTTTATAGGGTATGCAATTACTAAATTGGAATCCTGAATTATCGCACATCTGGTTGGGTCTCTACTCTTTTTTTTCTAAAATTGATGAGACTGCAAGAAGAATGTGTAATGTTTTATTTCAGAAGGTATTGGTTGTTTAACTAATCATGCAGTGATAAATTCAGATGAAATAGCGCATTTTCAATAAGTATACTTTTTATGTCCTTCTGTAGCATTAACCACTTTGAACCATTTCAGGATGCAGTTAAGAGATCTAGATTTTAACAACACTGGCCAGGTCCAATGACCTTATGCGTTGAATGTTGCTGAATGG